ACCAGAGCTCTAATTTATACCGGCTAATTTTTTAGGACAAATCTGAAATGACATACTGAAAAACTATTGCGACAATGGCAGGCTTCTAAAACGAGCCATTGCAAAATGTGTTTGTTTTACTGAACTTTTGGATTTGTCAAGCCACAAACGATAGAACAGTTGAATACAGTTCCTCTACTGGTATGAAGGATTATCAGAGTTCTATATTTATTTCTCCCTGTACTGACAGAAAGTAACGATGACAGCAGCACGAACTTTGGAGTGAAAAGTGTTTTCCTTGCAGCTTGTTTTTTTTATTGTACGTAGTGTTTACAGCAAGATTCGTGATGGTCTTCAAGTCCGACATAAAGACATCCAGAATATTACGTTGCTTCATTTTGGTCAGCGACAACTGCCCTGAGTGAATGAATGCACATGTAAAATAAACACCATAGCACTAATTCATGCGTACACGAGTGTCAGACACATTATTAATTATTTTACTGATATAGCTAAAACCTCACTTAAAGCTCATTTATAGTTGTCGGAGCTTCGAGATGAGACCACTGGGGTTCCGGCACCAAACTTGGCACTCAAATCAATACACATTTTCATTCGGTGATTTTGCAGTATCACAAAGTGCTTCAAGAAGGATTTTATTCGTCGGGGCTTAAAATCGCTACAATATAAGTATATGTTTAAAAAAAAATTCCAAACGAGGTTTTACAAATTTATTAAATCAAGATCGGAATGAAAAATCTCGGATCTAGTGCAGATCTGAAACTGGGTTAGGTTTAATCTGAGCAGGTCGTTTTTCTTTATAGACTAAACTTTTTTTCTTTTTTCTGATTAATTTTAAATCCAGTTTCTATCAGGCATTTTTAATGCTGCCTTACTTTCATCCAGGGCTCTATACCAAACCTAGCCTTCGGTTCCAGTGATAAATTACAATCAATTCATCGTCACATTTGAATCAAAGCGGTGATGCATGCACAATACAGTCCGCAATACACAAGGACAGAGAAGGCTGCAGACAAACCGAAAACTCCTCTCGCCCTACCCACTGCCTCTTATGTTCTGAGTTTCTTTGCGCACCGTATCACGAAGTAGCTATCGCAATGCAGAATTTAACAGGGCATCCTCTAGTACGGAATACCAATATGCACTGGGCGGTTCGACACTGTAAACAAAATCAAATGACAAGTCGGAACTACATTTAGGCTCATCAAACACAGGTGCGATATCTCTATCGCGATAAGACTTTTAATAACACCGACAGCGCCATTTTTGGCATACTTTAAAACTTAATAAAATGACCATATCAAGAGTAAAATGTCAAAAAAAAGGAACACAAGGAATTTGTTTTAAATTATCTAAAAGTTTAGTATACTGGCATACACAACACCCAATTAATGCCGCAAAAAAATTGCGCCAAAATGAAACTGCTTTGTTGATCGCGAATAAAACTGTGAAACACGCTTGAACTCTTCACGCCTCGATTATATATGCCATACACGAAGCTTCTCTGCTCACTGAACACAATAACGCAAACATTAATCTCTACACCGACTCAGCCCAAGCACTTCGCAACATGGAACACAGGTTATTGGAGCCACATTTACATGATATCCTAATGGACGCCTACACCCGCAACAACAACATCAGAGTCACCCTGCGCTGGATACCTGGCCACGCGGGTATTGGGGGAATCGAGCTGGCACATCAACTCGCCCGCGAGATTAACTTCCGGGCTCCCTCGATCCCCTGGCCAAACCCAACGTCAGCCGACGACGCCGCAACTTACAAAAAGCAAATAGCTGAACACTACAAAAACATTAGGAAAAACCGTACCACCCTTCCCAAACCACACCCCTCACTTAGCACCGAACAAGCACGTATTCTCCGCAAAGTACAAGCCAACACACTCCTCACCCCGCTAATGCTCTACAACTTCAGGTGGCAGAAGACAGCTCACTGTCCCAACTGCCCCGAGGTGAGGGCTGACACAGAGCACATACTCTACGCCTGTAACACTGCGCTCAACTCTCCCTACTTCCCGTACCCATCCCCTGCCTCCTGGAATGCTTGACTCAGCTCGGACTCGGCGGACCTCCAATGGGCCCTGGCGGAGCAAGCGCTCCTTTTCACAAGGCCGTAGTTTTTGGCTTTTAATAAAGTTGTTCTCCTCCTCCTCGAATAAACACCCATAAGGCGAATAGCCATACCAACGGTGGATTAAGCATTACGGCCATTGTAGACAAAAACCGACAGAAACAAAGCAAATCTCCGTCGCCAAAAGGCTTGTGCGGGTAAAGCGGGTACTCACGATGAGAGAAAGGAACTCCAAACATGTAATCCGAGATCAAAGATCACACCGCCTAATCACAAGTGAAGCTGTTAGAAATACTCAACGTCGAACAGCACAAACGCATCATGCACCGCAGTGGCCCGGAACAAATGCCAAGTCGGAGGATTCGCTTGACGTGGTGACCATTTCATCATCAAAACGGAACGACCGTAACCGCTGAACCTGTCGGCACGCGGGCGCGCGGACGCTCTGCATGCTGCAGCAGGTTCCTCACCATGTAACAATGCGCAATGCCTGCTTTCAAAATTCTCCAACCGCTCGAACCATACCACAGAAACACATAAAAAAAAACTTAAGCATTCACTGGAACTATATTCGTAGTCGCAGGAAGGGCGTGGTCATCAGGTTCACTTTTTCTTGTGTGTTTTGCTGTTCTTGCCGGCGCCTCTCTGAACGTTGGCCGCCTCCTTTGGCGTGTATTTGTTCTTGGTTTATTTGTCTCCCTTTTGCTCGGCCTGCGCGAATGTGCTGCCAAAGGATTCTAACTGGAACGAAACATAAGTAAAAATGAAGAAGACAATACACGTTTCTCAAGGTTTGGACTGAAACAGATTGGCCCGAAAGTGCAGCAGGGTAAGCGGAACGACAGCCTGATCCGCATAACGCCTACGAATTCCACATAACAAAAAAAAAAAAAAATAATAATAAAGCGAACAGAACTTGCGCTTTATATATATTACCTCATCCACATAAAATATTGACTTGTTCCAGAAAGAATATTTGGAACGGTAATTTAACTTGAACCTCTGTTGAACCAGATTAAGAGTGTACAGCCGATGCCACAATCCGGTGAGGCAACGAAACGGCTCCTCAAGTGCGTCGTCAGAGTACGCGGTGTCTTTGGAGGTACGCTGTTACGTTTACATCGGCGCTTGAGCTTTCGCCTTCAAGTGGTCTTAAGGATAACATGAAAGGCCCTGCGATTTGTTTTTTTGCAGAAAGGGGGTGGGGGGGGAGGGGAGGTTGGACTGAGTTAATTTTAATACTTCTTTTTCCCCGGCTACATCATTGCCCAGAGAGGGAGGGCGGAGGGGATGAGGGCATGGTCCTTGGTCATTCGGGGGCGCCCGAACCCCTCTTCGGCCTATCGGGAGCTTCAACCGAAGAGACAACCCGTTGACTACCAAGACCAAGTAACATTCACTCTGTACTAGGGCTCAGTGTTGGCACCGGATGTATCGACCCTCTTCTTTGCAGGACCCAAAGGCACGACAACTCCGGTGCCAATCAACTCGTGGAACGACGTTTCATCGAAAGCTGGTTAGACCGCATGTGACGTCTGGAATCGCGCCACGACGCAATCATACCGCCAAGTTTGTGCATACGATTTAAAGTAGCAGTGAACGCGCGATGGTGAAACCGCGCCACGGCGCCAGCATACCGTGAAGCCATGGTTTTGGATTATGAGAAAGTGATGATGAAACGCAGATATGCATTTCAAATTTATTCATGACTTGCAAGCTCCTCAGGCCTCTAAACCAATTCTGACAAATGAGCAGCAGCCTGTTAGTTCACAGATATGAACGGATTAAATTGAGTGGCTTTTCAAATAAAATTGACGGCTTTGGGATAAAATTGGTGATAACTTGGATTAAATAATTTGTTCCAGGATTAAATTGACGACCACTTGGATTAAATTGGAGTACAACTAAATTAAATGCAGGAACCCTCGGATAAAAAAAAATCTGGCACTTGAATTATTATGGGCGAAAATACCTGGAAACTTAAAGGCGTAAGTCTGTTAATACCATGAGCTCGTGCCTGGAGACACACTTTCACGCTTTCTAAAGCAAAACAGAAAGAAAAAAGAAAAACGGTGCGAACGAAACTGTGTTTATCACAACATTATTTTTTGCTGCGTCTAGTACTTTGAAACATGACTTAACAGCTAGCTGATAGTTTTGGGAAATTAAAGTTCCTGTCATGCAGTGAAAGCTATTAAGTGAGGAGGAGTGGAAGAGCGGGAAAGCAATGTCCTTTATTTTAATAGCACAAAAGTTACTCTAATCCTAATATGTTCAATGCAACACATTAGAATGAAATATAGGCTTGTGGCTATGAATGGTTTTCCTTCGCTGCTAAAAAAAGACACTTTTTCTTTCTTAAAAGCATGTATCAAAACGATGCAATCTAATCACATCACTGAGCATTTTACCATAGAATATTTATCAAATCAACCAAAAAAAGGATGATTTCATGCTATAATATTGTATCTAAAACAAGAGGAGGCTGATTTGTGAGCTTGATTTCAGCCTCCATGAAAACGTAATTGTAGTAATAGCTGGAAATAGCACGACTTACGGCACGCACTCGAACTGATTGTCCTAGAACGGTGTTTGAGTTTTGAGCTGTATTGGTCACAGGGCATATGCTAGGTCGGTACTCACTGAGGCTGACCCACTTCAGGAGATATTAGACTTAGAGTGGTTTTCGACCCCGGGGGATTCACTCTAGCTAGATTGGCAAAGAATATAACAAACTGACACAGAGGAATATACATGCAATACTTGAAGATGAGCTGTATTAATAAATAAAATAGAAAATAAATAAATAAAAGAGCTTGTGAGTTTTCCCGCGTAGAAGCACTGACTAAAAAAGCAAAATTTAAAAGATGATATAATGTTCCTATAACTAGACAGATATCCCGTTTTAGGACCACATTTATTGCAGAAGACTCGTGGGCATGAGCCCGGAGGAGGAGTTCCAGCGTTCTTCACGGAAGGTGGCTCTGATGCACCCGAAGGTCCATAGAGCCATTCAAGAACCCTTCAAGTTCAATTAGAAGTGTCAGGAGTGTTTGAACTATCGCTTGCTGTAAGATAAGAAACGTAAGATAGGGTCCTCCCACAAGGGCCTCTTCTTTCCACTGAACAGAGCGAACGCTGCAGAGGAGGCAAGTGGAAAGGAGGATACCACTAACCATGGTGAGAAGAGAGAATTGGGCCTCGCTAATTAACCTGGGACGAACTATGGGTTATGTTTTCTTTTCGTTTATCTATTCAATTTCGTTGTTAACACTACTTACCCCCATATGTAGATTTTAGTGTTGAGCCAAGAGGCTTTATTTGTCATTCATTTTAGTTATTTTTTTCCAAGACAAGTTTAATGATCATTAACGATCCTTCTACCTAGTCAGCTGGTACTATTCTTTTAGAATATAACTTAAACATTTTGAGGCAATAAACACTTCGAGTTTCATTACAATGTGTTTACTGCAATTATTCAATACAATCAGGACCCTATAGTGCAATTTGGACGTTTGTTCGAACCGTTTTCAATTTAGAAATATATTTTCCACGTGATGTGTGCTCATATTTCAGGCAACTACCAAAGTTCCTAAAGGTGCATGTTGCAAAACCGGACTTAAAAAAAAAACCTGTCCTCTGATGCAAAACATTTACAGTGTTTTTTCCATCGTAAAAATAAACTATTCATTGGCGAAAAAAAGTCTGCTCTCAAATGTAGCATCATCAGTTTCTACCATAATCTAATGTTTCAGAACTAGCCACATTATTCAAAAGATATAAGTGATATTTTGAAAGTTTTAGTGGAAAGGGGGTCTCGTTCTTGTAATCTCATATCGTTCATCTTCATTCAATCATGGGCTACCATTTTTCTATATGAAAATTTCCGAAAGTCACTTATAACGTTTGAATAAAATAATGATAAGCTCTGAAACTTCACCGTTTGGTACAGACTGCTTGCTCTAAGTTTGGGTGCAATCTGAGCATTCGGAAATGTGTAGTTTATGTTTGCAGTAAAAATACCACAGCATCTTTGAGGGGACACCTCGTACAAAAAGGTCAGTGGGCAGTCACATGCAAAAAAGAAAATTGGTCTAAACTCTTTTCCAACATAACGTGTGCTGTATTTGAACATGAGGCACACTTCCCGTAGCTATCAGCCAGCAGCACTTGTACAGCCATAATGAAGTACGGGACACGTGCGTGCTAGCCTTTATGGAACATGGCCCGTACTAAGGGATTATGGTACGTGTTTCGTAATTCAGTGATATGGAACATCTTGTGGCAACAAGGTTAGCAGAGATATGTCCCGTACTGAAACTGTCCTTTTTCTAAGCGTATAAAATAAGCTCAACGCCCTGACTTTCTTAAAAGAGCACGTAGTTTCTTTCGTATTCAGTTTTATATAAATATTTCTCGCTTGACGATTCTTTTTTTATTTTAAATACAAAACGAATGCACAGAAAAAGAATCACACATTAGAGAAGCGGTAAATAAAGCAATATATTCTGCAATCGGGATTATTCTCTACTCTGCTCAAAACATTGCTACTTCGCCGATATGGTAATTTTTACTTAAATACTGCAACCCAAAATCCCAAGAGACAACTGAAATCACTAAACGTAAGCAACGCACAACTGCCTCATTTATATTAACCCCAACTCCTAAACCACAATTGAAAAAATACACGGATTTTCATGACCTTATACAGGGAAGTACGTACATAAAGTGTATACTCGTCAAGTCCTCGGTATTACAGGGTACAAGAGTCTAGAGGAGAGCTGTGTACTTAGACGCCGTCTCCGACGAGAGCCCCGCAAATTCTTGGGAAAACAGCAGAGCCTTCCTAAATCCAGGTCTGCTTACCCTGCGAAAACGTAGCAGTCGCAGTCGGGTCAAAAAAAATTTTTTACCCCCCCCCCCCCCCCCCTCGTATTCACAGGGATGGGGGGAGCAAAAGGCAGGCCTCTCGAGAAAACGTTTCAAGGCGTCGTAATAACGTTACAGAAGTACGCGTTCCCGCCAAAAGCTACAGAGTGCATCGGCTGAGTGTCTTTCGTTGCGGCGAGTGCTCGGCAATGGGATAAGAAGGCTTGTTGTGGACGTACGCTCCTTCATCGCTCTCTTCTTTTTGTGCTGCTAAGGTAGACGGCGGCGGTAAGAACGACAGAACCAGTAAAAAGGAGACCCCAATCTCTGTGTGCTGCTCGGTGCGTGTGGGCGATGGAAGTGAAAGGGGCGTGCAACATGGCGCCGGAACAGCAAGCGCGTTTCAGCGTGAGTTTTGTCTTGATATCATTTTTTTTTCGCAATTTATGTTTACATGTATCAGGTCTGATTTAAAAAGCGTTTCAATATTTCCACGAAAATGAACAAACTTGAAATTAAAAGTACGGGCGGTGGCAGGAAATATGTTAGGTAAATATAAATTCCGGAGTGGTCGGGCGTTTTGCTTCACGGGCAGTACGCGTCTGGGCGAAACGCTTCTGGGCGAAATAAAATTGATGCACCGGTTTTTCTAGCATAAACTGAATGAGGTTTCTCTCAAAACGTTGACCCGCGTCATATGATCCGGCGTTAAATCTCGGGTGCTGCTTCTTTCATCGTATATTTTCTTTCATACGCACGATGTAATATCGGGCCCGAATAAACGCGAGAAGCCGAACACGTGGACATCAATACTTGCTGCGCCAAGTGGTGGCCCCTGGAAATTTATATAACTGCGAAGTGAAATAGGGGCCGCGAGGAAGTGCGTCCTACTAAATATTTTAGTAGATAATACATTTTATGCCTCGAAAATCCAATCGCCTTGTCGCTGGCATCATTTGCGTCTATACCAGTGGAGGAAAGCCTTGCGACGGAACATCGCAGTGAACTGCTCCGAGATTCTTTTAAACAGCTCCTGGATGGCAGTGCTGTTGCCAATGAAGGTGGTAGACATCTTGAGGCCACGGGGCGGAATGTCGCAGACGGCGGTCTTGACATTGTTCGGGATCCACTCCACGAAGTAGCTGGAGTTCTTGTTCTGCACATTGAGCATCTGCTCGTCCACCTCTCGCATGCTCATGCGCCCGCGGAAGATGGCAGCCACCGTGGGGTAGCGGCCGTGGCGCGGGTCGCAGGCGGCCATCATGTTCTTGGCATCGAACATCTGCTGGGTCAGCTCTGGCACGGTCAGGGCCCGATATTGTTGGCTGCCGCGAGACGTCAGGGGGGCGAAGCCGGGCATGAAGAAGTGCAGCCGTGGGAAGGGCACCATGTTCACTGCCAGTTTGCGCACTACGTCCAGGACAGAGTCCACCAGTTCCGCACCCTCTGTATAGTGGCCCTTGGCCCAGTTGTTGCCGGCACCACTCTGGCCAAACACAAAGTTGTCTGGCCGGAAGAGCTGGCCAAAGGGTCCAGACCGTACCGAGTCCATGGTTCCCGGCTCAAGGTCAACAAGGATGGCACGAGGCACATACTTGCCACCGGAGGCCTCGTTGTAGTAAACATTGATTCTTTCCAACTGAAGGTCCGAATCGCCGTGGTAGCTGCCGGTTGGGTCGATGCCGTGCTCGTCGGAGATCACCTCCCAGAACTTTGCACCGATCTGATTTCCACACTGGCCAACCTGAATATGGACGATTTCACGCATTTTTTGTGTTGCTGGACGCGCGTTGACTCGCGGACTTCTCCCATGAATCAGGATGCTGCCACTTAGCGCAGTGGACAGCCTCCGAGGCAGCTGTCTGCTGTTTTGGGGAATCAGGGAACTCGGTGTGTAGGTGGAAACTCTTTCCCTCGGCAGAGCACGACAACGTGGACTGCACGATGCGCATGTCTCCTCCCGGAAGCGAGTTGTGCCCGCTGCTATGTTAATATTTCTTGCTGCAGACGTGTTATCTAGTGATTCAGTGAGTAGAATGCACTCATCTATACTTCTTTCCAGCTTAAGTCCAGACACAACCGACGCTACGAGTTGATGGAACCAATCAAACAGAGTAAAAAACAGACCATCATGGTGTTCGTCATGTTTCTGTACGTGTTCTATTATGGCTAGAACAACCATAAATAAAAAAAGCCCTAGCGACTTGCGCCTTTGGCACTGCTTGTTTCGTCCCGTTACCTCGTAGCGTCGAATGTGTCTGGACTTAAGCTGAAACGAAGTATAAGAAAGTATTTGATCATACTTCGATCTTTTTGACATTTTCGTAGTTTCGCCACACCTATTGCCGCTCGCTCGGCAGGTGCCGATGAAGAAAGCGTCACAAAAACGAGGACAACTGAGGAAGCACCTTGTTGCGCGTTGCCTTTCCTGCTGTTCCGTGTCGAGCGAGTGACGATGCCCGGGGACGAAAGAAACTACCAGCGTAAAGCAGGCGAAGTGCCGAAGTTAGGGCTGCACTAATCGACGGTCAGAACATTTTAAGCACAACGGAGCAGGACGCATCCCGGGAAGCTTTATCAGTTCCCAGGGGCCTCCAGGAGGAGCAGAATTTATCCAAAGCGACGCGTTCTGATGTTCGCGCTTTATTCGGGCCCGATAGTATATAAAACTTCATCTGTATCTATCTACAAAACGCAAACATACAATACGTTAACACTTGTTTGGTGAGAACAGCGAAAAAAGACGTAGGAGCAGGACGAAGAAACACACAGACAGGGCGCTGACTTACAACTGGAAGTTCATTGCTCTGTAAAAGATAAACAAACACAGAAAGGAGGAAGGGAGGAGAGCAAGCAAAGCAAACCAAAAACATTCGGCATTAGCCACGCCAACACGCTCACACAAACCTGTCACCCTTTTTAACGAACTCTGCCTCGTCATCTGCAAGGGCAACGAAAGGAGCGCTCATACACGTGTCAGTTTCGATAGACTCCATAAGATACGCTTCGTCTGTCTCCATCACAGTCTTGGTTTTGTGTTGAGACAAAATCTTTATATTATGAAATGATGGCGACCAGCCATACCTATCACAATGGAGCTCTAGGTTCCCTGAGGGCGAAGAACGCAAAGAAAGCGAATGCTTCCTTGCCCTTATGTTTACACACCGCCCAGTCTGACCAATATACACCCGGCCGCAGGACAGCGGGATCTGAATCCGGCCGGGTGTATATTGGTCAGACTGGGCGGTGTGTAAACATAAGGGCAAGGGAACATTCGCTTCCTTTGCGTTCTTCGCCCCCAGGGAACCTACTGGTCCATTGTGATAGGTGTAGCTGGTCGCCGTCATTTCACAGTATGAAGGCTTTTTCATGACACAAAACAAGACTGTGAGGGAGATAGAGAAAGCGTATTTCATGGCGTCAGTCGGAGCTGACACGTGTGTGAGCGCTCCCTCTGTTGTCCTTGCAGATGAAGAGGTAGATTGTGTTAAAAAGTGTGGAAGCTTTGTGTGAGAGCGTGTGGGCGTGACTGATGCCGAATGTTATCGGTTAACTTTGTTTGTTCTCTTCCCCTCCTCCTTTCTGTGTTTATTCTTCTTTTTGCAGAGCACTAAACTCTCAGTTGTAAGTCAGCGCCCTGTCTGCGTGTTTCTTCGTCCTGGTCCTACGTATTTTTTGCGCTGTTCCCACCAAAGAGTATGTACCACCAACTAGCCCAGCTACATGCCTTGATGATGCTAACATTTGTTTTCAAATGGCTTCTACTTTTACTTATTTTATTTACAAAATACCCCACAGCGCCGAAGAATCGGAGCAGGGGAGTAAGTTTCACAATTGATCAATACCATCAGACACATATCAATCGACCAGCGCAGGAAAGTATACTTCAGCACAGTATGTTTCAGTAACATAAATTAAAATCATCCACACGTCAGCATGCGACATCACAAGTTGAAACGCGATGTTAAGGTACACGGCGGCGTTAAGAAGGGCCTCAATGTGTGTGACCTCAATCTTATTGATCGATTAAGTATTTCTGGTCCGGGTCCCACAGGGCGCTTTAAAACTCTAAACGGGGTCCCAGAAACGCACGATATACAGCTTCGTTTAGAATTTGGGGGAACTATGCGTAAGTTTCGAATGACTAAACTAAGAACCCTACTAGCTTCATTCAGAATCCTATTTATTTATGATTAACAGACAGGTCCTCAGAAAGAATAACACCTAAATATTTAAATTTAGACACCGTTTTGTAGCAGGTCCCTTCCAACGACGTAAGAGGAATTAATGCTGCTTTGTGTTTTACTAATTGTGACATGAACGCACTTTCCTGTTTCTAATCTTAGTTGCCAGTTCGGGCACCATAGACTGATGCGATCCCAGTACTGTTGCAACAGTGACACTTTGGTTGTATTACTAATTGTTTTGCAAATTACACAATCATCCGCGAATAACCTAACATTAGCGAAGGCACAGGATGCTCTAACAATATTGAAGACTAAAAATAATGGTGGCTCCAAAACCGACGCCTGAGAGACACCCGATATTTCATCTACATATTTATATTCCTTACTTCCCTAGGCGAAACATTGTTTTCTTTTACTCAGGCAGTCTTCTATTCATGTGAGTATTGTATTATCAATATTAAGAGAACTGATTTGATGTAACAATCAATGAGTTAATCAATCGATCAATCAATTTTATTTACATGATCATCAGATAGTGATGTGGTTTGCAGAGGCAAAAAGTCAAAACAGTTTTGACTTTACAAAGCCTCTGCAGTCTTACAATTGGCATACCGTAACAAAAACAACAGCAATCAGGGAAAACCGAACTACAGTGACATGGGATGGCAAAAAGAAAACACTTATATGATCAACACTTACCCTATATACTGTATTTTGCTGCTAGATGAAGGATTTTGTCCTTATACACAAAGAACGACAGCATCTAGTGACTGGATGAAGACAGGGAACAAAATATATAAAACGGATGCCTTTATAGCTCACAAAGACAATTTACTTTTTATTTGTGAAAACAGAGTTCTCCAATTTGATTTAGATGTACGTTTTCAATGTTTGACAAATTATGTTTTTCAACTTTATTTAAGACAAACGGAAGATTACAGCTTAACATTTGAAACCCATAGTTCGTGCGATTAAAAAAAAAGTTTCCAGCGCTCCCTTTCCCTAACGTCACGAGGTTTGAAAATGGAAGTTAAATTTGAAATACAAGTAAAAATTATTTATTATATTGAAGGGCGAATCTATATCGTGTGACTTGGGCATACACATATGAACCAAGAATAGAAGTTAAATGCAGCTCTTTGAATAGAGAAGGAGTGAGTGTATGTGTCAAAAGACAACAAATGGTAATAACACGATCAAACGCTTTGCAAAATTTTTAAAATTTTGTCAGTTTGCAGTTTTCTTTCAGTTGCACTAGCCAAATCGTGGAAGTTCAATTAACTGGGGGAGCAAAAAACGTGTTTGCAGAAACCATGTTAATTTGTAGAGAAAATGTTGTTATCTTCCTAAGGTTTCATAACATTACTATACAGATATGTCCCAAGGCCTTTTATAATCTATAACTCAGTGAAATAGGACTATATTTTCTACATTTTATTTTTATCCATTTCTGCAAACTAGTACGACATACGTTTTGTTTATTATTTAGGCAATTGACCAGTTTCAAAACTTCGCAAACAATTTTATACAATTTTTCGACGCTATACACGACCAGGCTTTTAACACTGTGGAAAATACCTCATCCGGACCAGATGCCTTTCCCACCTATAGGGAGTCTAAATATCCCCCCAGGGGTAATGCGACGGGAGTCATGAGGTTTTGTAAATCATCCGTAAACAGTGGCAGATTTTTAGCCATCCCTGTCCAAATATATTGACTTAGAAGTAGTCACTGAAACAGCCAGCTGTCGCAGCACTTCAGTTATTAAGCAGGGAACAGATTTGCGAAAAAAAAAAAAAAAACGAATTTTGTGCGAAAACCGCACACGAAAATCGCACGGCAGCTGGGCTCCTTCCCTTGCTCCTTCCCTTTTCCAAAAATCAGGAGCGGTTTGAAAGATCTGCAGCGCCAGATATTTTCGCACGGCGCCTCCAAATTCGGGGCCGAGGAGCTCGGTGAGCGAAAGCCCGGAACAGGACGGAACGGAACGATACGATCGGCTCGCAACATGGCGGCTCGCGCAGCTTTGGAAGCAGCGCAGGCAACATCGTATGCCATCCCTGCGTTCTCATCTCAACCTTCGTAGAAAACCCCTTCTGTCTCTATCATATGGGTGATGGTACAAAGGCTTGCGTGGCATTCAACGAGGTTTTAATAGCTGAAGTTTTTAAGAGGCGCGCAATATGGGACGCCAGTTCGCCAGACTCCCGAAGAGCCTCCTGAAGTCGGAGCACGAAAACCGCAGTGCATTGCGATTTCCGCGCCGCGCATTCCACCTCATGTGGCTCGTCTTCCGAAAATCGCAAGCTACGATTTTCGCAGCCTCCAATTTCTCTCCGATTTTCGGTTCGTTTTTTTTTTTTTTTGCAAATGTGTTCCCGGCTTTATTGTAAGAGATAGAATCAGAAATGCTGGGAATGCCAGTTGACTGTTTACGCGTGTCCGTAGGAAATTCCAGAAAGCTTCCTCATTTGTACTCACTGCCCTTGCTAATCAAGAAAAATATTTATCCTTGCCATTTTGTAAACTAATTCCAGCTCTCCTAAACGATGCTCAAGATTGGTGCATCGGTTCTTTTTTTAATTA